TTTTCTCCGGTTGCTTACGAAAACCAACTAAATATTGAACGTGTGCAACCCGAACACTTTCTGAAAGTGGTTTTGTGTGTCAATATTTACCGAACTTTTGATTATTTTGGTAAAATATTCGCCATTTATGAGCCATTTCGTTGAGTTTCCCGAAAAACAGTTTATTGAAACTGCCTTTACGACCTAAATAAATGCCAAATGTTCAAAGCGCTCCCCAACAAAGAGTTTACGTTCAGCTTTTCACGACCCATAAATACTTTACTCGAACTAAATACAGCTTGACCTTTCCAGTCCCGAGGGAGTTCTTACTAGATACCAGGGCCTAAACTCTATTTTCAATGCCTTGGGTGCATTTTTTCACTGGAAACTGGTGAGTTTTGCCATCTTTTAGGCCGTCGTACTCACCAGTTTCTAATGAAATTGTTGTGGACTCGCCACTGGTTTGGACCCAAAAAAATCACAAAATTTTCCGATAGTTCAGTTTTGTCCCTCATTCAGTGGCGACACAACAAATCCATTAGAAACTGACTGAGCGACGCAAGCAACCTCTGAAGATTCGAACCACTCGTGCGTGCGAAACGTCCGGAATAGATAATTTTCCACCTCGGGCGAAAGGCCTGAAAAACTCACCAGTTTCACTAAGCGGTTTTGCTTGTTCCAGGTGCATTCGGGTGCCGTTTTGGTAGATTTTCTGCTTTTTACAGACAGAAGGAATTCGGCTGGAAATCAATTACACACTGCCGTTAATTTGTGCTTTATTCGCTATTGGAAAATGGGCAAAATAGCCCAATTAAAGCGTCAATTCAGCCGTAATATTTTCTGGTAATTGGGTCTGATTTATGGTTGGTATATATACCTAGCTAGGGTGAATTAACAAGCAAATTCTCGACTTCAGACCACTTTTTAGGCAATTTCTTAATCACCTTTCCATAAATATTAATGAAACACTCGCACTCATTGCAAACATGCTAGAAGTTTCAGATGTAATGCACTCTTACCTTGG